ACTCCGCGTTGTATGAAGAAATACTTCCTTTTGTTTGTTTTAAACCTGCTGCGTATGAATTTCATTTGGTGACCCCTAATCCTTGTGTAATAACACTTCCTTATTTACTTTCTCCACACCAGTCATGATTTTATAGACCTTTATCGTATCGCCCCTTAGTCGTCTCTTTTCCAAGCTGAAAAGTCCCAGTCTCATTAATCTCTCCTCATACAGAAGCTGTTCCATACCCCTCATCATTTTTGTTGCCCTTTTCTGAACCCTTTCCAATTCCAATATATCTTTTTTGAGATGGGATGACCACATCTGCACACAGTAATCAAGATGTGAGCATACCATGGATTTATATAGAGGCAATATAATATTTTTTTTGTCTTATTATCTATCCCTTTCCTAATGATTCCCAACATTCTGTTCACTTTTTTGACTGCCGTTGCACATTGAGTGGATGTTTCCAGATGTTGTCCCACAAACTTACACAGGATCGTTTTAGGGGTCAAGACAAAGATGCCACATTTATTATTAATTTGTAACTATTAGCAAATACCTTAATGCTTATACACATACACTCTCTCACACACACACACCCCAAAATGTTCTGCAGCTGCTGGATAGTTACCAGTCCTGATTGTAGTTTGAGTTCGCAGCTTGGGATCGTAGCTCGTGACAGCTAACTGGCCAGGAAAGCTGAGCACGAGGAGGAGCCGGGTCTCTGTCGGGCGCGCACCGATGCTCCTTGATGTTGATAGCAGAACGTTACCCAAAGTCTCTCATCTCACCCTTCCTTTTTTATAGGAGTTTAGTTTGGATTCAAAGTTCCTAGGTCTCGCTGCGTCAGGTCGCCTCTGGGTTTGGTGCTTGATCACCCGTCAATTGCAGGCGTGACTGTCAGCCTGGGACCTGGCTTTGATCTTCCTTCTGTTGTTTCTTTTTAGGTGGATGCTTCTTGCTTGAGTTAGGGCTGTTGTCTAGTTCTTCAGCCGTTGGTATTTGAACTTTATCTCATCAGGACGGGCTGGTGCTGGAGGTTGATTCTATCACCCATGCATCCCTCATTCACACATCTCAACTAGACTAATAAAATTACAGCAGGGTTTGCAACAATGAAGGTTGCAGCAAGCCCTTACAAAATGGAGTAAGCGTTTTAAAATGGGGTTTGAATTACAATATGGCACAGAAGTTACAATGTAGGAAAAATGGCAAGTGTAATGAAAGTTACAATGTAGGCAAAATGGCAGGTGTTATGAAATGGTGAACAGAAGTTACAATGGTACAGGATAACTAAAAACAATTTCATTCATGAGTCCTACACAGAGAACTATCCACAATGACTCCAAGATATTTCTTGAGTGGCAACAGCTAATTAGACCCCATCATTTTATATGTATAGTTGAGATTGTTTTCCAATGTGCATTACTTTGCATTTCTCAACATTGAATTTCATCTGCCATTTTGTTGCCCAGTCACCCAGTTTAGTGAGATCCCTTTGTGACTCTTTGCAGTCTGATTTGGACTTAACTATCTTGAGTAGTTTTGTATCATCTGCAAATTTTGCCACTTCACTGTTTCACCCTTTTTCCAAATCATTTATGAATATGTTGAACAGTACAGACCCCTGAGGACACCACTATTTACTTCTCTCCATTCTGAAAACTGACCATTTATTCCTACCATTTGTTTCCTATCTTTTAACCAGTTACTGATCCATGAGGGGATCTTCCCTCTTATCCCATAACCGCTTACTTTGCTTAAGAACCTTTGGTGAGGGACCCTGTCAAAGGCTTTCTGAAAGTCTAAGCTCAGTATATCCACTGGTTCACCCCTGTCCACATGCTTGTTGACCCCCTCAAAGATTTCTAGTAGATTGGTGAGCATGATTTCCTTTTACAACAACCATGTTAACTCTTCCCCAACAAATTATGTTCATCTGTGTGTCTGATAATTCTGTTCTAAGTAGTTTCAACCAGTTTGCCTGGTACTGAAGTTAGGTTTACTGGCCTGTGCCAGGATTCCTCTGGAGCCTTTTTTAAAAATTAGCATCACATTAGCTATCCTCTAGTCTTCTGGCACAGAAGCTGATTTAAATGATAGGTTACATACCACGGTTAGTAGTTCTGCAATTTCACATTTGAGTTCCTTCAGAACTCTTGGGTGAATACCATCTGGCCCTGGAATTCATAGGAGCCGATCTAGATGCAGTAGAGGCTAAAGCTTTCCTTCCCTCACACAGGTTCAACACCTTAGTCAACTTAATCTCAATAGTCCAGGCCATCCCTGAGACTTCTGCCAGCAACTCCCTTGACTGGTGGAAAGACAGTCACAATCACCCCTAATTTTAATAATCACAACAGACGCATCCCTATAGGTATGAGGAGCCCACCTGGACACCCACACTATTCAAGCCAAATGGTCCCCACTCAAGTTCACACTACATATCAACTTACTAAAACTCAGAGCAGTCAGGAATGCCTGTACATATTTCCTACCATTGATCAGGGAAAGCATATAAAGATTGACAGACAACATCTCATGTATGTTTTACATAAACTGCCAGGGAGGAGCAAGATCCAAAGCAGTGAAACTCTCGAATTGGTGCATTCGCCTCCAAATCAACATCTCAACAGCTTACCTCCCAGGCATACAAAACACTACACTGGACACTCTCAATAGGAATTTCTCCCAGGATCATGAATGGGAAGTAAATCCCTCCATTCTCCACAGCATATTTCTACATTGGGCAGTCCCAAAGATAGCCTTATTTGCCACAGCCAGAAACAAAACAGTTTGCTCCAGGGCCGGCCTGGGTCATCACTTTCTCAGAGATGTCTTTCTCCTACAGAGGAACACAGATCTCTTGTATGCCTTTCCACCGACTCCTCTAATATCCAAGGTCCTGCTCAAGATTAAAAAAAAAAAAAAAAAAAAAGAGAGAGCCACAGTTATACTCAGAGTTCCCATGTGGCCAAGTCAGATGTGGTTTCCACACCTTATTCTACTGGCGATTTGCTCTTGAGCCTATTCATCATCTCCTCTCTCAGAATGCTGGCCAGGTCCATCAATCCAATCTGCAGGTTCTCTGGCTCAAGGCATGGCTCCTCGATGGTTCAAAGGCTTGGAAATGACCCGCTCCAAGGATTGAAAGGTGGTGCTGTTACATAGAAGGAAGCAAGCTATTTGTCTCTCACACACTCAAAAGTGGAAGAGATTCCAACTCTGGTGTGACTTGAGGCACATGACTCCTATATTCTCTCCACTATCGCTTGTGCTGGATTACATCCTAGAACTAAAAAAATCAGGATTCTCGCTAAGATCTGTAAAGGTGCATCTTGCAGCCATCACTGCCTTCCGTCATAAGATAGACTGTTCTGTTTTCGTTCATCTTACAACAAGAAGGTTTCTCAAGGGCACAGGTAACCTCTTCCCACAAATCAGATGACCTGTACTGACATGGGACCTCAACTTTGTCCTCAGGTGTCTAACCAGACCTCCCCTTTGAATCCATTACCACCACCTCACTTCCTACACCTCGCTAGGAAAACTACATTTCTAGTAGCCATTACTTCTGCTCGAAGTGTGGGAGAGATAGGGGCTCTAATGAGTTACCCTCATCCCTTACAGTCTTTTTCAAAAACAAGGTTACACTATGACCACACCCAAGGTGTAAGGGTGTGGACTCACCTCTGTGGCACCTCCTGCTGGTCGTCCTCGGGAATTAGCTCATCCCAGCTCCGGAGCACCCTCTGCAGGCCGGTGATCCGCTTTACCTCACTCTGGCCCCTGTGTCCCTTCCAGGACCCAGTGCCCCATTATCTGGGGTGCTGCCCCCTGGCAGTAACCCCACAGTTCTGGGTCTCCCCTTCCCAGGGGAACCCCCACCCACTATCCCCACTTCGCCTCAGTCTTGGCTGCTGCCAGTCATCACTTAGCCTCCGTTCACTGGGGCAGACTGCAGTGTATCAGCCACTCATCACAGGCAAAGGTGTTTGGACCTGCTGCCTCTGCCTACCTGTGGGCTGCCCCCTGCAACCCAGTACCTAATAGGCCTTACCAGGCCTGCAGTCTGGGGCTTTCCTAGGCCAGAGCTCCCCAGCTCCCTTGGCCTTTCCCCCAGCCCTGCTCTACCTTAGGTACCCAGGTACGCTCCCTAGCAGACAGGCCCTTCTCCCTCTAAAGGCAGAGAGAGAGTGCTGAGCTCCTGGCTCCCAGCCTTTTTGTCATATTCATAGAGTTTTAAGGGACCACTGATCATCTAGTCTGACCTCCAGTATATCATAGGCCACCAACATCACCCAGGACCTGCACACTAAACCCAATAACGGAAATGAGTCCAAAGTAAATGAGGCCCACGGGAAACTAGACTTACGTGCGACTAGGAGGGACTGAGGTTCACCAGTGCTTGAGGGCCCTCCAATGGTAGGGAAATTATTGAATTAGAAATACTCAGATAGTCCTGGCATGTGACCCATGCCCACGTGCTACAGAGGAAGGTGAAAAACCGCCAAGGTCATTGCCAGTCTGACCTAGGAGCAAATTCCTTTTTGACCCCACGTATGGCGATGAGCTAGACCCTGAGAGTGTGAGCAAGAACCAGCCAGCCAAGCACCTGAGAGTGCGAGAATGCTCAGTGCCACCTCAGAGCCCTAGCCCACCCAGTCCCATGTCCCATCTCCAGTTTTGGCCATCCCTGATGCTTCTGAGGAAGGAGATTTTAAAAACTTCCCAGAATACATCGCGGGGAAAATACTCTCTTCCTGACCTCTCCCAGTTGCCAGCCGAAACCCTGAAGCATGAGCTTTAGGAACATAAGACATAAACTGGAAATTAGCCCTAGGGCTGTTGAGTTCTGCCCCCAACCATCACAAGCAACATACTTGTAATTTATTTCTCTGCACTCTGCCTCCAGCCACCCATCAGTTACACTCTGAAGACTTTTGGCGTGAGGGAAATTTAATAGCTTAATGAGGAGAAACATTTTTCACATGATATGTTTTATTTGTTTCTAGGAACAAATGATGAGAAAGAAACAAGCAATGCATCTCGACGCACGGTATGTCACAATGGTGGAGAATGCATACTATTACTGTAATCCCCCTCCTGCTGAAAAAACTGTGAGGAAGAAACGCCCACCTCTGCAGGAGTATATTCGTAAGCTTCTTTACAAGGATCTCTCCAAGGTCACCACTGAGAAGGTGAATCCATGTGAAGTCTTGATGTGGTAGATGGCAGTACTTGTGACATGACACAACTCTTCCTCTTAAATTATTTATTACAAGAACAATAATTATAGGTACTCATTTAGAAACTGAGAGTGAAAGGATGAGTCGTTAGTTAACTAATGCTAGGAAAGAAGGCTTCTGCTTGACCCATGTAAACGATTGAGGTTGAAAAGATGGGAAGAGGTTTTGAATTATCCAGATCTGACACATGTTTTGAAGGATCCAAGAAAGTTGGAACACAGCAAGTGTCTGAGGGCAGGGTTGAGATTAATGTTTAATACTCCCAGGAGAGGAGAAACTGCTTCTGGTTCAGGATTATATTAGAGACGGGCACACTGTTTGAGCTATTAAAATCAGAGGCCATGTGCATGCTAACAAGGCAAGATATTTTAAGGTGAGTCAATGGGGATGTCCAGGTAGAGCTCCAGCCATGATTTTAGTCTTCCAGGAAGAGAAGAGGAGTAGGTCTGAGAATATACAAGTCCCAGAAAAGAACACTGTGGTTTCTCAAGAAGTCACACTGGGTGGTGAGGCTCTCAAACTCTAAAGGTACACCAGTCTTATTCTAAGACGTATGCAGGGAGAGTCTACAGTATCTCTGGGGTATAACCTTGGATGTCTGTTAGACCAGTGGTTCTCAACCTTTCCAGACTACTGTACCCCTTTCAGGAGTCTGATTTATCTTGCGTACCCCCAAATTTCACCTCACTTAAAAACTGCTTACAAAATCAGACATAAAAATACAAGTGTCACAGCACACTATTACTGAACAGTTGCTTACTTTCTCATTTTTACCATATCATTATAAAATCAGCTGGAATATACATATTGTACTTCCATTTCAGTGTATAGTATATAGAGCCATATAAATAAGTCATTGTCTGTCTGTATGAAATTTTAGTTTGTATGGATTTTGCTAGTGCTTTTTATGTAGCCTGTTGTAAAACTAGGCAAATATCTAAATGAGTTGATGTACCCCCTGGAAGACCTCTGCGTACCCCAAGGGGTACATGTACCCCTGGTTGAGAACCACTGTGTTAAACATCCAGTGCTGAGTGAATACAGTAAGCATCTGGGAGAAGTGTTTCCATCCTGCACAGTGTTTGCATTAGGTCAGACCAAATGTATTCCATACCTTTTTATAAGTGGTCTGGGTTTCTGTCTCTTTATGCTTTTAATAGTACAAGGCAAAATAAATAACACGTGTATATAAATTAAGGATCAGATCCTTCGTTGGTGTAAATTGGTGGAGCTTCGTTAGCAGCAATGGAACTCCACCAGTTTATGCCAGTTGAGAATCTAACCCTAAAAGTTCAGGGTATATTAGACTCCTTGTTTTTATTCTGTAGTCTTCACTTTCCACATTAAAACAATTTCTATGCGTAGCTTAGATGTTAAGGTTCATGTTTGGTTTCAGATCAGCTTTACTTAAGTTGTGACTCTGTTTACTTTGTTCAAGAGAAGTGTAGAATTTTGTTTTAATCTTAGGTTTTTTTCAGTGCCGTTCAATATTATAGTTCTGCTCTTCTGAGTCCCGTTACAAGTATCAGCTAATTTCCATGGATTTTAGGAAAAAGGGGATAAAGTGCCAGCTTCACTGATGAAGTGGTGCTTCCTGCTATCTGAGCCTTTCAGAAGAAGATGGTCTTGGGGTTTGTAGTGAGGTGGTAGTTCTAGATCTTTCTACTCCCGGTAACATGATTTCTTACTGGCTTCCTGAATGATTGAGAGCGCCTCGATAAATGACAAGCTGGAGAGGACCACCAGTCTTCTCATGGAGTAGGGTTTAGATTAGGTACCCATGGCTTGGGATATATATCCATTAGATTTACTTCATTTGGGTAACACACGAATCCACTTCTGAATAGGTGGGGGTATTTCTTTAGAAAGAGGCCACAAATATTATTTGGGGGTGGCATTTGTAATGACTATAAGATATAACAGGTTCCATTTACACATAAATCCACCCAGCTTTGCCTACTGAATTGTTAATTGTGTTTTACAAATCTTGTTTAGGTCCTGAGACAGATGCGCAAATTGCCCTGGCAGGATCCTGAAGTGAAAGATTATGTTATATGTTGTATGATCAACATCTGGAATGTGAAATACAATAGTATTCACTGTGTAGCTAACCTCTTAGCAGGGTTGGTACTTTACCAAGAGGATGTTGGAATTCATGTTGTGGATGGAGTGCTAGAGGATATTCGCTTAGGCATGGAGGTAAAATATATACATATATATTATAAGTTCATTCACTTGTTTAACAGAAACATTAAAATAAAACCTTTCTAAATATAATTTAAAAATAGAAACAGAGATTATGGAAAATGTTTTTCATTGCTTGATTGATTACTTTTCTACCTACCTGCCAGCTGCTTTCTTTAAGGTCAATCATAAAGTCAGAATAAAAATGAGAGAGGGTTATTAGGGTAGTTACTTCATTCCCTTGCCATAGTAAGATTGTTCCCTATGCACTATTTATAATGCTTTTCTAGTCTAGTATTTAAACGTCTGAAGCCATGGATTTTCATATCATTTTCTCTGGAAGTCCATAATTTGATAGAGCTCACAGTTATCGAAAGCTTTTTCTAGATATGTTTATATAAAAAAAAAAAAAGCCAAATTCCAGAAACATTCTTTTAAATAATACAGGACTGGGCTTCATTCAAACCTTTATGATATCTATTGATTGGCCAGGTTATATGGCTATCTGCAATACGTCGATAGAACATAGAGTTACTTTGGGCTCTATTGTAACAAATTATATCAAGGAGTGACAATATTATTTAAAGCAAAAATGTACTTTTTTAGTTTACATTTCTGTAATGGAGACTGTAAGGCTCCTTATAGTAATTCCTATTGTGTCCACCTCTATAAAAGTAAATGTGTGTTTTGCACTAAACTAGTAAATGTTGGGTTTTGTTCAAGGTTAACCAGCCAAAGTTTAATCAGCGACGGATCAGCAGTGCCAAGTTCTTGGGAGAACTTTACAATTACCGAATGGTCGAGTCAGCTGTAATATTTCGAACTCTATATTCATTTACATCATTTGGTGTGAACCCTGACGGTACTGCTAGTCCACTGGACCCTCCAGAACATCTTTTTCGAATTCGACTGGTCTGCACCATTCTTGATACCTGTGGGCAATATTTTGACAGAGGTTCCAGCAAACGGAAGCTTGATTGCTTCCTTGTGTACTTTCAGGTATTAATAAACTTAACTTTGTGTTTAAAATTAACTTTGGGTGATGGGTGTATCTTCTCATGGTCCTAAAGATTTATCTATACAGTATCTAGAATCTGTACACTTCGGTTTTTATCATTTGGGCTCCAGTTCAGCAAGGGATTTAAATGTGTTTAAATTTAAGCACATGAGCAGTCCCGTAGATTTCCCTGGGACTATTCACATGCTTAAGTTGAGCACATGCTTAAATACTCTGCTGAGTTGAGGCCTGACTGTGAACTCTACAAGCTCTGTAATGATTTTTTTTAAATCCCTTCTGATGTTCATAGTTTTAATGAGAGATTTTTGAAATGGCATTAAAATGTCAAATGTAACTGGATGATGCCATGGTAACTCCATGGAATATTCTGAAACATTCATGGACTTTAGAGTGCTTGTGTTAATCTCTTTTAACTTAATTTAGAAGGACAAAAGAAAAACAGGGAATTTTAAAAGATAACTGCAGTGGAGGAGTATTGGCATTAGGGCTGTCAACTGATTAAAAAAATTAATCATGATCTACATTTTCAAATATATTGATTTCAATTAAAACAGAATACAAAGTGCACAATGCTCACTTTATATTTATTTTTGATTACAAGTATTTGCACTGTAAAAATACAAAAGAAATAGTATTTTTCAGTTCACCCAATACAAGTACTGTAGTGCAATCTCTTTATCATGAAAGTTGAACGTACAAATGTAGAATTATATACAAAAAAACTGCATTCAAAAATAAAACAATGTAAAATTTTAGAGCCTGCAAGTCCACTCAGTCCTACTTCTTGTTCAGCCAATCGTTCAGACAAAGAAGTTCGTTTACATTTGCAGGAGATAATGCTGCCCACTTCTTGTTTACAATGTCACCTGAAAGTGAGAACAGGCATTCTCATGGCACTGTTGTAGCCGGCGTCACAAGATATTTACGTGCCAGATGCGCTAAAGATTCATCTGTCCCTTCATGCTTCAACCACCATTCCAGAGGACATGCGTCCATGCTGATGATGGGTTCTGCTCGATAACAGTCCAAAGCAGTGTGGACTGACGCATGTTCATTTTCATCATCTGAGTCACATGCCACCAGCAGAAGGTTGACTTTCTTTTTTTTGGTGGTTTGGGTTCTGTAGTTTCCGCGTCGGAGTGTTGCTCTTTTAAGACTTCTGAAAGCATGCTCCACACCTCCTCCTTCTCAGATTTTGGAAGGCACTTCAGATTCTTAAACCTTGGGTCGAGTGATGTAGCTATCTTTAGAAATCTCACATTGATACCTTCTTTGCATTTTGTTAAATCTGTAGTGAATGTTCTTAAAATGAGCAATGTGTGCTGGGTCATCATCTGAGACTGCTATAACATGAAATATATGGGAGAATGCAGGTAAAGCAGAGCAGGGGACTTACAATTCTCCCCCAAGGAGTTGAGTCACAAATTTAATTAACGCATCATTTTTTTTAACGAGCGTCGTCAGCGTGGAAGCATGTCCTCTGGAATGGTGGCCGAAGCACGAAGGGGCATACAAATGTTTAGCATATCTGGCATGTAAATACCTTGCAATGCCGGCTACAAAAGTGCCATGCAAATGCCTGTTCTCACTTTCTGGTGACATTGTAAGTAAGAAGAGGGCAGCATTATCTCCTGTAAATGTAAACAAACTCGTTTGTCTTAGCGATTGGCTAAACAAGAAGTAGGACTGAGTGGACTTTGTTTTATTTTTGAGTGCAGTTATGTAACAAAAAAAGACTATATTTGTAAGTTGCACTTTCATGATAAAGAGATTGCACGACAGTACTTGTATGAGGTGAATTGAAAAATACTATTTCTTTTGTTTGTTATTTTTACAGTGCAAATATTTGTAATAAAAATAATATACTTTGATTTCAATTACAACACAGAATACAATATATATGAAAATGTACAAAACCATCCAAAATATTTAATAAATTTCAGTTGGTATTCTATTGTTTAACAGTGCGATTAAAACTGCGATTAATCATGATTAATTTTTTTGTTTGTCATGTGAGTTAACTGCGATAAATCGACAGCCCTAATTAGCATATATAGTAATTCAGTTCCTTTGTGATTAAACTAAAGAAGTGATTATTTAAAATATTATGGGGTTCCATGTTTCTGTCTCAGTAAATACATATCAAATTTGATCAGTCTAAAAATTAAAAAGATGTTTTTCCCTAATTGCTGTTAGTCCTGAAAATCTGAAAGTCAGACTGAGTTGTTTCTGGCTTGAACATCACCACCATTAATAAAGGTTCTGCTGATCATACTCTGCCTTCAGATGCACCTGCGCAACCTCATTGTTCTCCCATTTTGCCCTTAAATACACTTTTGTATAAATAAGGGTAGAATTTACTTTGCATCTTACAGATGAATATAGTGCTGGTTTGCTATAAAGATGTCCATACGTTCGATAGAAGCATCACCCACTGATACCTGAAGTTTTAACATTCTCATGTTTGTGAAAAATGTCTTCCCTTTTAAAAAAGAATATGATTTGTATGGCTGCATTTGTACAAGAATTAAAGAGGGATTTTGAAATGCACAAAGGGCAGATAGGTGCCCATTTCCCATTGAAAAATCTGCCCCTAAAAAGGGTATTTTCATTCTGTTCCTATTTTTTGTAATATTTTCAGTTGCCATAGATGATTTATTTGGTTATGTAATTTAAAATCTGGATTGTCACTTTAAAATTCCGTATGGATTTTTTTATTTTAGGGATTTTCTTTGAATTGTTTCAAACTGTTTTAGCAGGATACATGAATTTAGTATGTTTTTAGTGACTTGTATGCATCTACATTTTCTTTAATGTTTTGGTAATGTCTTTTTTCTTGGTAAAATAGCTTCAGTCAACATGAAGTACAGTACATATATAACATGAGGATGTTTTGTATTTCAGAGGTATGTTTGGTGGAAGAAGAATTTGGAAGTTTGGACAAAAGACCATCCATTTCCTATTGACATTGACTATATGATCAGTGATACGCTAGAACTGCTGAGACCAAAGATAAAACTCTGCAATTCTTTGGAAGAATCTGTCAGGCAGGTACAAGATTTGGAACGAGAATTCTTAATAAAACTAGGTAAGAAATAATACAGCATCAAAGCCAGTTGTTCATGTCTTTTACGCTGTCATTATTATTATTACTACTACTACTATCACTATCCCTCAGTGATAGATCACTACAAAAACTAATTTCCCCCCTGCTGTTACTCACACCTTCTTGTCAACTGTTTGAAATGGGCCACCTTGATTACATTGAACGCATTAGCACTACAAAAGTGATTTTCCTCCCTTCTTGTCAACTTTGAGAATAGCCCACTTGCACCTTAATTGAATTGGCTCGTTAGCACTGACCCCCCCCCCCCCGACTTGGTAAGGCAACTCGCATCTTTTCATGTGCTGTGTATTTATACCTGCCTCTGTATTTTCCACTCCATGTATCTGATGAAGTGGGTTTTAGCCCACAAAAGCTTATGCCCAAATAAATTTGGTTAGTCTCTAAGGTGCCACAAGGACTCCTCGTTGTTTTTGCTGATACAGACTAAGAGCTACCACTCTGAAAACTATCCCTCGGGTGTTTTTTAACCTTTTTCTGCATTTCCTGACCTGTTCTGAATCTGGGTAACATATTAATTTGATGTATCTAAAGAAACACTAAACACGAAGGTGACTATGGTTTTTATTTATGATGACTGGTATAAAAGGAAAAGGAAAACCACCAACTCTAACTTTGTTAGTACACAAGAGCTTTCGGCTGCTTTGATACAGTATTTAGTGCATCCAGCAGTCCTGGTGGCTGAGTAGCTCATCACACACAAGCATATCCATTGGTTCTATTACCTAGATTCCTTTAAGGTATATGGGACCATTACAGTCAAACACTGGACTTGTAGAACAAGTAGGGTGGCCTGATGTCCGGTTTTTGACTGGAAAGTCCAGTCGAAAAGGGGTCCTGACAATGTCTGGTTACTACGAGCGGGAGAGGCGCCAAGTCATCACCTGCTCCAGCCTCCTACTCAGCTGGGGCCACCTCCTACCTTCGTTGGGTCCCAGCTCCGCAGGAAAATCCCTCCTGACCCGGGAGGTGGGGATGGGAGGGGAAGAGCAGCGAGTGATGCAGGGGAGGGGGCCTATGGGGAAGAGGCAGGGCAGGGGAGATTCCGGCACTCCTGTTGGAGTGTCCGGTTTTTAAATATTACCAAGTCGGCAAACCTAAGGACAAGGCATTCAAATAAGCATAAAAATGTGTATTGTAATATCGAGTCATTGAAATGAACAGTTGTGCCTACTAATGTGGTCTAGTGTATATTATGTGAAACTGGGGGTCATTTGAGTTCTGTTCCTCAGTCTTGACATGTGACCTTAGACAACTCCCTTGACCCCTTTCTTTCAGTTTTCCTTCTGCATTACCTGCCTCATAGTAGTTGAAGCTTAAATTGATTGAAAACCATCTTGATAGTCTTCAAAGAAAGACAATGGAGAGTGTTAGTGTATTTGTTTGTATCTCCATAGGCACACTCAAGAATGCATATAGGGGGCAGCTGGGCTCCAGTGGACTAAGCATAAGGATGGGTGTCAAGATCTGTGTAACATCCCTGACTTTGCTACGCCACCTTCGGCATTTCACGAAATCTCTCTGACCCTCATTTTACACCATTCCATAAAACGGAGATAAAATTATTTACTAAACCACCTATTGGAAGAGCTTTGAAATATACAGTTCTTTTCATCCATAGAAGTGTGGTGTTAGCCTGTCTCCAGTGAATACTTAAATAGATGAGGAAAATGGTGCTTTGGGCATCTTTTTCAGCACTCTAGGAAGGGTAAACTTGACCACGTAGTATCTTTCTCTTTAAGGCTAGGCCTACAAAATGTCATGAGTGTTCCAATGTTTGCTATGTAGAGAGATTAACAGTGGTCTTTAACAATGATGTATTACAGAAATAAAGTAGAAGAAATACTATTGCTTGAACTTTTGGAATATTTAGCAAGTAGCAAGCAGATCTGGAGACAAACTAAGTCACTCTTTAAGAGACTTTAATGAGTCAAGGAGACTTTAGGAAGTGGTTGACAGAATGGCTTTCTGGAAGAAATTCCTTCCCTTCACGATGCATAAAAGTTCTGCTGGATAAAAGTCATCAAGGAACTGCTACTGGTGGTCTGCATAAGAGGAAGAAATGACAGTTGTGTCATGTGGAGTTACAGTATTCTTTATTCACTGGGTTGAAAAGGTTCAGTATAATCCTGTATTTTCCAAGACACATGTTGGCTTACTCTTATGTTAGGCATGGCAATAGCAGTTCTTGTCAAACTGGAATAGTCTGGAACTACAATAAAACAAGGGAACCTGTTTGCTATTCTGTTTACTGACCACAGCTCTATTTCTAGAAAGCTGACTGTCAGACATTTTGAATCTTTTATATTTTCCTTGGAATGCTCATAAATAGGCTCACAGTTTTCAGTGGAGGAAATTACTCGATGAGAATGTGACTCCCTTACTTATGCTAAATATAAACACTACTTCTGTTCTCTTTATGCTTCTATTAAACTGGATTCATAGACTGCTTTCTTTAAAGAACATATGGAAACTAGTGCTGCATTTGTGAGTTACTAAAAGGTAAACCTGTTCTTGTTCCAACTACAGTGGTGTACATTTATGAAACACTCCAAAGTTATCTGTGTTGAAATTAGTTAGCATCAGGAGCAAACACCAGGCCATGGGGACCCCACAGCGCAATTGACCAAACACTCCCTAATGTTTATATCTAGAAACACTAGGGCAGTGATGCATTAAAAAAAAAAAATCTTTATGCAGTGCCATTGGCTGTTAATGTATTCAGTCGTTGAACGGATTTATTTTATAATTTTTAATTTCTAATTGGAAGCCCTGTTTTACTAGAGGCTTTTTTGTGGATTTTTTCACTTACAAGTGTTAATTTATAGGCAAAAACTTGATCCACGCTACTTCTAGTTAAATCAGTTCAGTTCTCAAAGTAATCCCTTAATTTAAGGGTCAATATATGGAGAAATTATGCATTGATTTTTATTTTTAAGAGGAATTTGCATTTTGTTCACTGTGCTATTCATTTAATTAAAATTCTTCAAATATAATTTAGTATTAATATCAGACTTTGACTTCCTTATATGTTATGATGATCAGAAAGAAAAAAACAAATTTGGAATGGAAACTATTTTAGGTGAAATTTTTTCCCTTCCTCATGGCATGATCTAAACTACTGCTTTTATGATCTCTAACTCCCCCCAAAAGGCAAATTATGACTAATTATATGCATTTTAATGTATTCCTTTCAAAGATGCCCAGCAGTTTCTGCTGTAAGTCAAAGTAATTTCCACCCTCTGAACCATTTTCTGTAGATCAGTTGCGTCCAGTACAGTAGTGGGATCTCCTCATTCCTGGAGCATGAGTGAGCCAGTTCTGGGGAATGGCATTCCATTGTGTTCATTGTGGCACCAGACAGGCAGATCACCGTTGTTATTTTTAAAGGTGCTATTGAATGAGCAACTATTGAGTTTCCAATATCTTTTTCTCCTAGTTAGATACACATATGGTAGGATAGTCACTAATCCTTTGCTGTTATGACTATACATAGAATAGGGTCCAGAAGATTCTTATCTGTATTTCTCTGTTCAGATCTTTGAAAGCTATTATGATAGGTGCAAATGTTTTCAGTGGAAAAGATTTTTTTTGTATAGCTTTAATGAGGGATCTGACCAAACTCCAAATCATAATCTATTCCTACATGATTTTAGTAATTTTGTCAGATTAGTATTTCTATGGATTTATTTCTGAGATTCGGGAAACATTCCAGATAATTAAAATGGGTATATGACCACAAAAAAAAATTATACTATTTACTTGACACTGTTCTAGCCTGTGTTAATATTTTGTACTTTCTCACATACGCCTATCTATCTCTAGATATGTGGCATAAATATAAGAATAAGACATCCTGAAGAACTTTACAAATTATTTACATGTACATATGAGAGGAGCCAATACACGGTTGGAAATGAACGTGTAACAATTTGGTGCAGCAGCTTGACATGTAGTGAGGAGGAATATAGTGTCCAGTTGAAATTACTGTGTAGGAAAGACACTCTGCTTGCATAAATTTATGGTAACTGTCAAAATGGAAATTTAATCAAGACTAAAAGGTTAATAGTCCTACTGTAGCAAAAACGGCTTGTGATTTGTAGTGATCACAAGTGGCTAGGATTATTATTATATTTCTTGTTCGTATGATAGCAAGTCGAGCAAGCATAGTGCTCCTCAACATCTTTGCTTGGCATTTAATCAGTATGATAGAGGGAAGATTGCTGCTACCTGCTCTCACCATTATTAACTGTTGTTGTTGTTTTTTTTATGTGGTGGAGATGCTAGTTAAAAGGATTTCACTAGTCTGATGGGTTGGCTGCATGCTCTCTAAATAGGCTGGCGTGGAAGCAAAAACTAGTAGTACTCTTTGCTCTCATCACCCTTTCTCCCATTCTAGTCACATTCTCTTTACCTCTGCCAATACCTTCGTTAGGCTCTGTATTCCGTACACAGTTCCCTTCTCTCTGAAGATTGCTTTTCTGGTGCTCACTCCTCAGTAGCAACTCTTGCTCTCCTTGATTTTTAACTCATCCAGTGTAAGTGGATGTTGGGGGGTGAAACTGGAACAGCTTTAAATATATTTCTTTTCATTAAATTTCAGGTGCTGTTTAAAAGTGTTACAGTTCTTGATAGTAATCTGTCCATGGAAACCCAAGTTTGCATACTTGCTCCTTCAGCCAGTACAGTAACTCCTCGCTTAACGTTATAGTTACGTTCCCAAAAAATGTGACTTTAAGCAAAACGATGTTAAGCAAATCCAATTTCCCCATAAGAATTAATGTAAATAGGTTCTAGGAAAAAAATTTTCACCAGACAAAAGACTATATTTTATTATGTGTATGTATATACATAATATGCGCACAGTATAAGTTTTAAACAAACAGTTTTTAATATTGTACACAGCAATGATGATTGTGAAGCTTGGTTGAGGTGGTGGAGTCCGGGGGTGGGATATTTCCCAGGGAATGCCTTACTGCTAAATGATGAATTAGTACTCGGCTGAGCCCTCAGGGGTTAACACATGGTTAATTTAGCCTCACGCTCTACAAGGCAGCACAAATAGAGGGGAGGGAGACAGCATGGCAGACACACACACACACCCACACACCCACACACCCACCCTGTAGAGTAACTCCTCACTTAAAGTCATCCTGGTTAACGTTGTTTCGTTGTTACGTAGCTGATCAATTAAGGAACACGCTCGTTTAAAGTTGCCCAATGCTCCCTTATAACGTTGTTTGGCAGCTGCCTGCTTTGTCCACTGCTTGCAGGAAGAGCAGCCCATTGCAGCTAGCTGGTGAGGGCTTGGAACCAGGGTGGACCAGCAGCCCCCCATCAGCTCCCCGCTTCCCTAAGTTCCCTGTGCGGCAGCCACCCAGCAGGCTACCAATTGCCAGCAGTTCAGCTGTCCCTCTCCCCACTGCCATCTGCTGCTCCTGCCCTCTGCCTTGGAGCTGCTCCCGGGAGCCTCCTGCTTGCTGTGCAGGGGAGGGGGAAGAGGAGGGCTAATGTCAGGGTGTCCCCCTCCCCCCTACTCCTATCCTCCCCCGCTTGCCTCTTCTCCATATAGAGCAGGGTGGGGACAGGACAGGACAGGGCTCAGGACGGAGAGAGCTTGCTGGCCGCAGCTGCTGTCTCAACTTCCTGATTTATTTAAAGGCATTGTACTTAGTCCGGTCAGCATACTTAAAGGGGGCATTGTGCCTCTCTCCCCCCCCCCCCCACACACACAAGCTGTGTCTCTGTCTGCCATGCTGTCTCCCCTCCCTCCATTTGTGCTGCCTTGTAGAGTGTGAGGCTACGTTAACAACAATGTGTTAACCCTTGAGGGCTCAGCCGAATGCTAGTTCATCATTTAGCAGTAAGGCATTCCCTGGGAAATATCCCATCCAATTCCACCCTCTAACTTCACCACCTCAACCAAGCTTCACAATCATCATTGCTGTGTACAATATTAAATTGTTTGTTTAAAACTTATACTCTGTGTGTGTGTGTGTGTGTGTGTGTGTGTATGTATGTATATATATATGTATATTAGTTTTTTGTCTGGTGAAAAAAATTTCCCTGGAAGCTAACCCCCCCACCCCCATTTACATTCATTCATAGCTCAGTGGTTTAAGCATTGGCCTGCTAAACCCAGGGTTGTAAGTTCAATCCTTGAGGGGGCCATTTAGGGATCTGGGGCAACAATTGGGGATTGGTCCTGCTTTGAGCAGGGGGTTGGACTAGATGACCTCCTGAGGTCCCTTCCAACCCTGATATTCCATGATCATTAGCGAGGAAGATTGATAGCTTGGAGCCTCTGAAATTGGGGGGAAGGGAGTGTGTATGCATGAGCAGAACTTGAGTCAAACTCCACTAAGTACAAAACAATATCTTACCATTAATAGTATTACCGAGATTTGGCTAATTTAAAAGTCTTATTAAGGACATAGGTCCAGATTTTTCTAAAGTGACTTATGATATTGGGTGCCCTGTCCGAGACCCCTTAAAAGGCCCTGGCTGATTGTGGGTGCTCAGCACTTTCTGAAACTCAGGTCCTTTTAAAGTCTACAATTGGGTACCAAAAAAAACCACGGGGTTCCCAAAATCACTATTCATTTAGAAAATCTTAATAGATAAGAATTGTATACGTCAGCATTGCCAAGTTTGAGCTAAGTACCTCACATGGCCCCCATTAAGGCTGTATCTGAGCACCTCGTCTAAGAATGGTTTGAGAGTAGCAGACATGTTAGTCTGTATCTGCAAAAAAAAAAAAAAAAAAAAAAAAACCAGGAGTACTTGTGGCTGAAGAAGTGGGCTGTAGCCCACGAAAGCTTATGCTCAAATAAATTTGTTAGTCGTCTAAGAATGTGTTTTGTTTTTTAATTCAAGGGAGTACTGGATCCTCTTGTATGAAATATTGCATTGTTTAATATAAGCATTTGAGTAGAGATGTGCTGTGAAGCCCCAGTATTTTGTTGTCATGCTTCTGGTATAGATTTATATTATTAAACTGGTGTGTCTATAAAATTGCAAAAGTTACTGCATGACCTGTTTTAGGACACTTTAAAATAAATCTGTTATCAGTGAAGTGTCTAACAGCCAACCAGCAAATTGATGTTATACAATAAACTAGAGTAGGTTAAAATTTGTCTACTTTGAGTCATGGAACTGAAACAAGGAAAAGGCACTGCCCTTGTTTTCTAGCGATATATAGATTTGAAGGCTACACAGACCTTTCTGACAAAGCCTGGCCATCATATTTTCAAAATGCTTCCTTGTCGCTTTTCATGACTTATAGCGCAAATCATGGATAGTGATTAAAGAAGCAATGTGAATAAGATTTCTGCAGTGGATTCATGGACATAGCCAATACAGTTGTGTTTGGGGTAGTCTGTACTGAGCTGATCATTGTTGGTTTGTGTTGAAGCCCCAATTAATGCACTCATGATGGCCCATAGAACCAAAAATCTCTCTTGCTACAAAAATTTGTCCCCAGCTCAGGTTTCCACAGTTATGAAACTTGCTGGAGTAGATTGAAGTATTGCTTGCTGCAATAAGAAACAAAACTAGCTACTCAAAGTTCTAGGAGAATGGAAATGAGTTCTTTCTTTGCGCTCCAAAATAACTAACCTAACTATAGATCCTAAGTGTATGGGTCGTATAGCTTAAACTATGAATAAGGTACTGTGTACTGACTACATCAGTTTTGAAGGGGTATCTTCGAAAAATCATTGGCTGAAATCTTCTGTGTTGGGCAAGACTAGCATCAATATCATTCTCTGCTAGCTCAAACCACAATCCCCATGAGTATAAAGTGGCTTTGTGGATTAATGAAAAAATTTAAAGAATGTATGAAAGAGTACTGTGTGCTAGAAGCTTGTCCATTTTTGTAGTGGATAGCTTAGCTTTAGCAAGAGTTGTTTTTTTCAAAAATAAAAATAAATGACCTTGTTTTTCCATATTTCAGAGCCATATTAAATTCTCATATGTCTTTTATGAATAGTTTAACTATTTCTAAGACTAAATTGTAAGCTGAAATATACCAACTGCATTTTCTGATCTGATAATGTGTAATGGGGTCCAATTCCATAAAGGAGAATTGAAATTATATCACAGAATATTTAGTGAAGTAATAGCAAGGTCTGGGATAATCCAAAATTATCCAAACCAAAATTAAAATACACTTGTAATTATTTAAAGGAGACAATATAGCTAAGAGAACAGACCAGGTTGAAGGATAATTTTATGAAGAAATCAGAGCATTAGTGAGTGGGTTGTCTAGTCAAAATAATACGAAACAAAAACCAGAAGACAAAGTAGACTTAACAGGGATGGAGACAATGAGTCTGTCAATGGCGAAGATGGTAAGATGAACTGGGACCCTTTGAAGGATCCCTCTCTAATGTAGGATAGGGACATTAGGTTACTGCTTTGCGAGGTGTGCAGGATTTGCACATACATACTCACTGCAGGATCTCAGGGCCTTAGTAGGGAAACAAAAATCAGTTTCAGTTTTACAAGAATCTATCATAAACAGGCTAAATGTTTTTTCCAGAGTTATGAACTGTACTGTGAGAGTTTCATTTTATAATAAATCACAGTAACAACAATTTTTACTGTGGTTTTGTTTGATGTAATGCTATGAGCTGAGAATTGAGAGTTCCTAACACAGGTTGTAGGAATTTTCACTATATGCTCTGAAGTGTTTCTTAAACAGTCTGTACAGTTCTTGATAAATCTCCAAGAATACTGAAAGTCTCACTGCAGAGATCCAATAACTTCTAGCATCTGGCATTTTATGTACAGCATCTAAGATGTTTGTGTCGTTTTAATGTAGCCTTAAAAATGTAGTACAGGGGAGTTGAAGAAATTTCAAAGATATTTTGAGATGTAACACTTGGTTACTTGATCAATGCTATGTGGAAATTCCTAAATATTCCCAGTAAAAATCCTTTCTTGAGTTGTTTTGAAACCATTTTCTCTTATGATTTTACTCAGAAAGAAATACCTTATACAATTATAAATACACGTATCATTCAAGACTTAATCACTAGTACTGCATAATACTTTAGTCAGCATTTTCTAGGAGTGGGTTTCTCAAACTGTCATACATCAGTACAGTATTTTTATGTGATGCCACAGCAAAACATTCTATTTCTAATCCCTTCCTATTTTTCATTTCTCAGGCCTTGTGAATGACAAAGATTCAAAAGATTCTATGACGGAAGGAGAGAATCTGGAAGAAGAGGAAGAGGAGGAGGAAGGTGGAGCAGAGACAGAAGAACAGTCTGGAAATGAAAGTGAAGTAAATGAGCCAGAGGAAGAGGTGATCATATTCATTTACCTTATTTTGCACTGTCCTTACGTAGAAGGAAATAATACTTAGCACTTGCAAATCATAAAGGCCTAACCCCTGTGGTGGGCCTGCACAAAGCCTCAAAGTCAGTGGATGCAGCATGGCTGTGCTGTGCACAGGGCCCTAGTTGCAGAGAGAATGTTTAGGTGGGACTCTACACCCTATGTGCTGTGGAGTCACCAGTTCTGCTTGTGCTTCATGGAGGGAAGGATTCTACCTCCTAGCTGCTATGGAGAGTCCCTGTACAAAAATCCATTTGCTCAGATTATGCAAAAAGGGCCCTTAATGCCTGGCCCTTAGTAATCGCTCTCAACACCCCTGGGAAGGTAGGCAATAATATCCCCATTTTACATATGTGGAAAAGTGAACACAGAGCATTCAAGAGACTTGCCCAAAGAAATAGTGGCAGAGGGAGGGTTAGGACTCAATGCTGCCCTCAGTCCACAACCCTGTGCTCAGCCCAACAGAGTATGCCACCTCTCGGCATAGCTATTAATTTGTAAATATAAAGCTATTTTTGTGCCATCTCCTATACCAGTTTTTGGAGCAGATGCATTAACTGTCATATAAAGGACCAAAACTAAAGGAAACAAGAGGCACCTTGTGCTGTTCATCATTTTTCCTATGTAATAGGGATAATAAGGCGCATTTGAATCACGTCAGTCTTCATTACTACTTCAGACTGCTTCAGTAATCTTTTGAATCAAATTGATATAGCCAATAAAAAAGCAAGTGTGCAATACGCTAATATATGTGATCTTGAAAATTCTAACTTCTGTGGCTTATTGTAGCTCAAAAGTTGGTCTCTCTCACTAAGTTTGTCTCTCTTTTTGGTCTAATAAAAGATATTACCTCACCCACCTTGTCTGTCTAATATCTTGGGACCAGCACAGCTTCAACAACACTGCATAAAACAGCTTGTCAGTTTAATCTTTGATAAAAAATTAGTCTGCTTTCAGATCAGTTTCAGTGGGGAAAATATAACTTGTTCAATAAAGAACAAGTTTTGGAAACAAGATGAGGACCCGTGCATAGCGCAGATCAAGGGTTAGTGTGACAGTAAGATGAGTATTCAAAAACTGATCAGTAAATGTTGCTAGATGGCATGGCATTATCATTGGAAGCAGACTACATTGCATGTTGTGATCAAAGATCAATCAATCGATTATACAGCATTTCATGGCAGTGAGGAGGGCTGCAAACAGTGAATGCACTTAATGTTTCTCTCATTAAATTATGTTAAAATGTAGCATGTCATTAAAATTTAAACTTTAAATATACTATTTCAGGAGTGCTCAGACAACGATGATGAGGAGGGTGAGGAAGAAGAGGAAGAGAATACCGATTACCTCACAGACTCCAATAAGGAGAATGAAACTGATGAAGAGAACACAGTACGTGCCGCTGCTTTTGAATAATGAGACCGGTTTTACATGCTCAGTATTCTTGACTGAATACTTTTAGCAGATAATGCTCATTAGAGATTAGGGGACATACACTAAAAATATTCACAAATGTTCTTTCAAACAAAAACCAAGTTCACTTTGACATTTGCAACTCCTTAATGTTTGATTTTCACAGACATTCGTACAAATGCTTTTGCTTACAAGACTCTTTTAGGAAAGTGAAAGTGTCACAAGTAGTCATGAAAATGTTCATTCACATTGGAAGAGATTTCATAGCCATTGTGAAAATACTGAGTGGACTGCTAAAAAAGAGGGAAAGTTTTGACATGCTATTGAGGTAACGAATATTTCCAGCAAATTGACATGGTAAAGTAGATTAGATTCTCCTTTGAGTCACAGAATTATAATAAGGAGGCAGGACAAACAAACAAAAAGCAGCAGTGAAGAAATGATGGGGGTGTGTTGTTATCTCACCATCAAAAGCAACCACATCAAACCCGGTCATCCAGCTGTGTGCCTGGGAGTGTGGTCTAATAGTAAGATGGTGAATGATCACCCCAAATGTTACCACAGATGTGCTGTGGTAACATCTGAGAAAGTAGCATATTGAGGTATTTGCTGTGTTATATTCTGATTACCTCCATTCAGATCAAAAAGACACACCAAATGACAAAGTCACTTGGATCATGGAAACAAGCAGCACCATTGCCAGGGGCAGAAACAGGTGTGATGGAGAATGAGGGCCTATTTATACAGCCTTTGATGCCACGGTCTCTTGGGTGATGGCATTTGCTTAGTACTACTCAGCTATTCTGACGTTAATGAAATGGAGCCTTTAGCCCAGAGAGGGCACCCAAGGAGGTCATTCAGCTGTTGGGGAGTGGAAAGGAGGATGTTGTGCAAGAGATTCAGGAGAGACTGCTGAGGTTGTTGGGTCTTGAAACATTCTGCTGCTGCCTCACTGGATGGTGGTGCAGAGGCAGAACCAATTGGCCCCCCACTGAGCTGAGTGTCTTATTTAATATTGTTAGGTCTACAGTTTTGTTCCACTTAAAAAGAATAAAAATTATCATAGACTAAAATGTGTTCTCAAGAACAATATGCCAAACAACCACAAAGCCTCTCTGTAGATAACTAACTAGGGTCTCATTGCATCAGTGTGCCCTTACATCAACTGTCCCATGAATGGATGATGATTACTATTGATAGTAGTACCTGCTATATGTGTGTGCTTTACAAATATTTAAGGGCAGTCCCCTCTGAATAAGCATTCTAATTCTCCAATCTAAGAAATACAGCCAAATCAATCAGTTGCAGATGGGGAGAGAATATTATTTTGTATATATTGTAGGCATGATGTCTAAAATAAATACAAATCAATGGGCCAACTGTATTGCAACATATTGCAAATCATCACAGTTTTTAGGCAGTGATCAATGTTAGTAAACATTAGAGCAGTAAACACCAAAATTCCTAAACTGGGCAAATCCATTTTAACATTTTTTTTCCTTCAACAATTTTTTTTAAACTAAAGCCATGACAAATTTTGTCAGAGATACAGAGTAATTTTCTTAGTAATTCAGATCCATCCTGAACTTCACTACTGCTGAAATTAATGTAACAGAATATTTGTCTTCTATACCAGGAAGTAATGATTAAAGGAGGAGGACTTAAACATGTTCCTTGTGTAGAGGATGAGGACTTCATTCAAGCATTGGATAAAATGATGCTGGAGAATCTTCAGGTATTAGTCCTTGTTATTGTCTTGGATTAAATAAGTCCCTTTACTGCATAGTTGATTCTGAAATAAGTGGTTAACGTGGAACTGCTTGCACCATGGGATGTGGTTGGGTTTTTTTCATACTCTGTTTTTGGCTGCCTTCCTCCAGTGCTAGGCTTTCTTAATTCTGCACAACTGCTATGAGGCTTTTTTGAGATACCAGGCCTTCTGCCCACCTTCTTAGGTAGGGGCCTTTTGAGGTGGGAAGAACAGTCATGAAAATCAGTCTTGGATGCTGAGGTGGTTTGGCTCAATCCTGTGCTTTCACGAAAGCCTCCCTTTCCCCTCTTAATCTTTACTCCCTCTCCTGTCATTACAAATATCCTGCAGCTCTGAATGCTAAATGGAGCTCTATTAATCCTGTGCTTTATTGACCAGCAGGTGTGCTTTTGAGATGCACCCATCCTGCCAGCTCCGGAAGGGAGAGAGAATCCAAGATTCAGTCTTGGGTCTGCTGTTTGATAATATCCTGATTATTAATTGTGACGCTTAGATAAAAAGGCAATATTAAATTGCTTCTGCTCTTCCAGTAGTACTGCCAGGCACCACAGAGATGAATTGGCCTTTGGATGGTGCCATCCTAATTGACTGAAAAGATACACAAAGAAATTCTCATGTCTTCTTGATGAGCCTACTGATGTTGCTGGAGTGGCGGAAGTTATAGTTTTTACTTGTTTCTTTGAATGCTAGTGATATTTTGGGGAAGTATTTTATTATACAGACTAATTCAAACATGCTGCTAGGGAGTAAGTTTTCACTCTTGTAATATCCAGTGGGACATAATTAATTCTTTGCTGATGGTGCATCTTCTAAAACAGGCATCGTAAGTGGCCTTTTAACAAGAGTCAGATCTGTTCACCCACTTTAGTAAAGTAGACTCAATACAAAAATTTTTTCTGAACTTAATACAACCTTGTCAAATGCTGTAAAACTGCTAAATTATAGTATTTCTATCATCAGAACACTCAATTCCAGATGCTTTCAATATGGCTTGTGACTGGAGATGTGTTCTGAGTGCAAATAGATCCTTTTTCTTACTTATGTAGAAGTCATATCAAGAGGAAACGTTTTGAGCTGGTTATTTTTTAAAGCTCAGAAATGAGATATTTGTATTTCTGGAAGGTGACTATGCAGAAAATGTTTGCAGTCCAGCATTGGCTATTTAATGTGGCATACTTAATTGATGTATCTGATCAATTAAATATGTTGAATCTGTTAGTAGAGGGATGCAATACAAACATTTTTAAAATTACAGATAAGGCAGTGGCCATTTTGAGAAAACAGAGCCTGGCCAGGGGAACAGAATAGAAAATAATGCCTTAACCTCATTTGAATTTCTTAGTGACTTCTGTGGAAGGATGGAAATTTCCGAGGACAGTGTGGAAGGAGCAGTTAGTGATCATGTAGGAACTCTATAAAATGAGCTCAAGTACTGTTTCAAGAATCAGTGATTAAGGAATGGAAGTAGTATGGCTGGAGGAGAATTGCTTTTAGTAAAGCAGCTGTAAATTGTTTTCTTCTGCCCAATAAATATATGGAGATGCTAATTGATTCTTTCAACTGACTGCTCAATAAAGATAAAGCCTATTACACAGATACTCTGCCATTTTTGGCTTTATGCATCACGTGATTATCCATACATAGGATGTTAAGCATTATAAATGTTGCTGCCATTTGAATTTACATAGCATATCAATGGCTAAAATAAAAACAAAACAGATGACATCTGGAGAATAATTTGCTACTCTGTTGCAAGCACTGTATCAATAATAGAGTAACTGGAATATTACAAAAAATCTGAATCCAGAATTACTGATCTTAATATTATATCCAATTTTAATTGAATTGTTTCTTTAATTTTAAAAATCATTCACAAATCCCTTTAAAATTGAGTATATTTTCTCATTGTCTTCTAAAATAGCATTCTGCAATGTTCTCAATTCTATGTAATGAATATAAGAGGGTAAGAAATGTAGGAACTCAGAGGAAACAAAATACATTTTAATGAGACTACGCATGTGTATAGCTCTGTTATTTTAGAAGGTAATTGACATTTTTTTTTATTAAAAATGAACTGTGAAAACAACAAAGCTTTCATATTTTTAGCATGTGATTGCCTCGAGCATTTTGCATCCCCTTTCTCTTTAGCAACGGAGTGGAGAATCTGTGAAAGTACATCAGCTGGATGTTGCTATTCCCCTGCATCTCAAGAGTCAGCTAAAGAAGGGTCCACCCTTGGGTGGTGGGGAAGGAGAATCTGAGTCGGGAGACACAATGCCATTTGTCATGTTAACTCGAAAAGGCAACAAGCAGCAGGTAAGGGGTTATCTGGATGTAAGTAAACGTTTTCCTTTGTCACAACACAAAGAGTGTGGTTTCTTCATCTTTATTTCTTAGAATGGGATGCAGTCCTCTGTTCTGTTGATGGGAACTCCCTGGAATTCTAAATTCTTACTAGGAGTTGTGTAGAGGACCACTTTATACCATTATTTGTTTTTATATTAAGTTCTCTAATTAGACCAAAGAGAGATGCTGAGCAGTGTTTGTTATGTATACAAAGTACAGGCGCAGTTTAACTGGCAGCTAGGAATTTGAATCCATGCTGTTATAAGATGCCACTGGAACTTGGAAAGCCAGCATGATTAACATCAGCAATAAGAGTAATATACTCAAGGGAGTGTCACAGATCTAGTCGAGCTCCCACTCTTGCACCCTCAGCAGACTGCTGATGAGATCCATCTCATTAGACCCCAGGTGTTTTAAGCCTCCAGAATCTAAACATAAATCCAGGCACTGCCCCGGCTTGGCATTTCTGAGCATGCTTTCAGGGTGTAAATCCTCTGTCTAGCACCCCCTTCTGAGCGCTGAGACACTGCAGTTCAACTGCCTAATCACTGGGGACCAGTGCTGACCTTTTAAGCTTCCCAGGAGCTTAAACATGTCCTCCCAGAATTCCAGCCATGTGGGCACTTTTACCATTTTCTTCTTCAGGGGCATGTTGATCGTATAAGCCAAAAGACGTGGCACAAGATTCTAAGACACCATTACTCTTTATTTAATAGTACAAGAAACACACAAATGTAGACAAAATAATAAACCCACCTATATGCACTTCTTTGAATAATGTCACTATGGCTGCTCCACTTGAGGTGCGCATGCATCTTATGCACCTTCGATCAGAGATTTTCTTCAGCAGTAGGTATGCACCCTAGGTATCCTCATGCCCCATACCAAGGATGTATAGGGCTATGGCAGACAAACCACACTCCATTTCTTCTCAACTTCCTTGGCGTCAGGCGGAGTATCTAGTGGTGCCCACTTGTGTAGCCACTTACCTCACTTGCTCTTGGTAGGTAGTTTACCTATATTAGTTTAGGTTTTTATAGGTTTTATATTGGTTTAGTTTTTTTTTTTTTCTATAAACTTAGGCTTTTAGCCTCTCCCCTTCCCCACACCCCCTTCAGGTGAGAACCCACCTTCTCTGAAGGAGCTTTCTTTTCCTTCTCCTTTGGGCATACCTAAATCCCCAGGATTCAAACATTGCCTCACTTGCTGGGAGTCCTTCCCCGTTAGTGATGGCCACTTGCACTGTATCCACTGTTTAGGGGGTACTCAAATGCAATCGAAGTGTAAGGTTTGCTCAGGATTCAAGAGATGTTTCAGGAAAGACAGGGAGATAAAGTTTTGTCTCCTCATGATGGAATGCTCTCTCCATCCTACATCATAATAGCGATCCTCTACCCTCTGACCCTCCGACAGCAGTTTTGAAGTGACCACAGTCCCCAACCAACCTCTCCACCTTTTATTACCTTCCAGACCTGTGGGAGAGATCTGCAGTGCTGACAATGTGAAGTCTCCAGCCAAAAGGCTATCTAAATCTCCTCAAAAAGAACTTGGCCCTAAGAGACCTGCTGTACCAAAAACCTCCAAGTGAAGGTTCCAAGTGGTCTCAGTACCAGGGGTCCCTCTACTCTGAAATTCTCAAGTACCTCTAAAACCCACGGTACCCATCACCTGGTACCAAAACATACCTTGATATAACTGAAGCATGATTGAGGTGTCTGAGACTCTAAAAATTCTGCGCTGAGGAAGATGATGCTATCTGAGACCTGTTACCAGATTTCCCCGTTACTTTGGGGTATGCTCATTTATTAGGGTTACTCTTTGGGGGGGGGGGGTTCTGTAATTCTATTAATGTATTGTTTGTGTCACTTGTGTGTTCATATGGAGCTCTACTTCTCCCTTCTGGAAGTCCCCTCCCAATGGAGCCACCCTGCAGGATCTAGGTTCCCCAGGGCTGGGTTCCTCCAGCTCCAGAATCAGATGAACACACA